CTTGAGGGAAACAGGTGATCTAGTGCTCAAAACACCTCTCTCCTTTCCTGGCTTTGCGAAAGATCACATATTTCTGAGTCTCATGCTGCGTCCTTGACCCAGGCCTCCTGCCACCAACTTGCATTTTGGTATTTGTGTGTTTACCCTGACCTGGCTCTCTACACCCGCAAGATTGGAGGATTGCTGCTTGTTCCCTGGTTTGCTGCTGCTGTTGCTTCTTTTAGAGAAAAAAAATCATCAGGTGACAACGTGCAGTTTGTTTTGGAATTCAGATTATTTACACAGAAGCCAAACACAGGTGTTTTAGGTGGTTTTCAGTGGGTGGTCTCCCATTTCAAAAGTATTTTCCTCTATTCATTTGGGCTGTGATAGGGAGGTGAGCTACTGTGCTGAGGCAGAGCAGTTGAACATTGTGGTTAAACCACTCCTCCTCTGCAGACTGTCTACACAGCACCATGTCATGTTGGTATTGCTAAGGTAGGTACAACAAGTTGAAAAAAGTAAGTGAATTTTATATTTATTGTTTACATGTATTTTCTAGTAAAGCTATTTGTAGGGAGAAGATAATTACCTGGGCCTCAGTCTGCTGAGGTTTTCCAGTCACCATAGTCACAGGTTCACAGAGTGGTTTGGGTTGGAAGGAACCTTGAAAATCATCTGGTTCTGAGCCCCGTGCTATGGCAGGAACACCTTCCACTAGAACAGTTGCTCAGGGCCCCATTGAACCTAATCTTGAGCACTTCCTGGGATGGGATGCCCCCAGCTTCTTTGGGCAACCTAGTGTCTCACCACCCTTACACTAAAGAATTTCTTCCTAATATCTAACCTAAACCTGCCCTCTTTCAGTTTGAAGCCATTCCCTCTGCACTATCACTGCATGCTCTTGTAAAAACCCCTCTCTAACTTTCTTGTAGGCTTCCCTCAGGTATTACAAGGTGCATTAAGATCTTTCTCTAACCTTGTCTTCTCCAGGCTGAACAACCCCACATCTCTCAGCCTGTTTTCATAAACAGATAAATTTTAACTTTGTTCCAGGTTTAAATTTCTGTTATGCCATAAGTGTGGGTTCTTTCTTCACCTTGGCTGTATTTTTGATGCGTAGAAACAGCAGTTTAAAAGTCCCAACTTGCTCTCATTTCATGTTTTTAGAAAACTTTTTAGTGTTCTCTTGGGCTTTTTTCATCCCTGACAAACTTCTCAGCTAAAGAAATAGTGTGGTTCCTCCATATCAGCACCAGAATAGGAGGCCTGTGGATGGGTTTGGTGGGGGCATGGGTAACTGAGGGAAGAGGAGGGAATGAATGCTTATTTTGGAGAAGCAGTCAGAGTGTGTGCTGTGGCACAGGGGTAATAGAGTCAGGATAAAAAAAATATTTGGAAATGCTGACCCAGAGAAAATATCAGTGCAAGGCTTGATGGCTGGGCTGACAGGTAGATGAGAAGCACCCTCTGATGATGAGCCCAGCTGCAAACCCCTGCTGCTGGGTATTCCCAAAGTGGGGCTACATATCTGGACACCCGGACTGGTGGTTAGAGAAGACTGCAGTGGCCATGTAGAGGTGTTACATCATAGGGACTTCCCATTCCCTCATCTCTCTATTGTATATGTAGATCAAGCCTACTGTGTATAAGTGTCTGTGATCTTAGCAACAATTTGAGTGAACAAATATTGCTGTCTTTTCAAGTCTTAAAAGGGAATGAATAAAACAGAAGTGCAACATCACCTCCATTTGGGTATGTGTGCTGTCAGAGAGTGCAAAAATAAAAATAGTGAGGTGAGTGTGGGGGAGCTGGAGCTGGGGGTGTCGCAATAACTGTGCTGTGCTGCAAAATGTTCCTGCCACTGACAGTGTTGTTCAGTGCTAATGTCTTGGCACACTGCTTTTAGACATTGGTCATCCTATTCCTCCTCTCTTTTCCTGTTGTAATTCCAGGATTGCTCTGGGCAGAGAAGGTGAAGACGGAAGTGGAGGTGTGTAACATACTCTACATTGAAAGCCTGAAAAGTGTCAAGCATTGTCAATGAATTGCTTTGAGTTCCTGTGCATGGTTGAGACTCCAGAGGACATGAGGAAACATTGACTGGATGGTGCAAGGGCAGCCCACAGGGGCAAACCTTCTCCCCTGTCTCCTTGTCACACAAGGTGTCCTTTCTTGTCAGTGGAGTCCCTGTCTTGGTTCCCATGGTGGCACAGCCAGAAGCTGTGCTGTGAGGTGGGGAAAGCCTCCCTCTGCCATTTGCTGTTCCACACCTGCGGGATCTGCAGTGTCAGCAAGGTTTTGTTAGCATGGTGGTTAGCTGGTCACAGTAAGCTGTCAGGCAGGCTTGTCACCTGGAAAGCTCATCATAGAGATGTAAATTATGCACCACACCAGGGACTTGCTCTCTCCTGACTAAGCTTAGCAGGTAGCTCACAGGCACTGGATTGTAGCAGCTGGAGTAAGAAGAGATCCTAGAAGTGCATTCCTGCTGAGAAACATTTCTTACCAAAGCAGAGTTAACCTCTGGTGACTGGTGTAAGCTCCCATAATGGGCCAGTGCAATGTCAGGCAGTTCCAGACACAGCAACATGCCTCACCTTCCCTGCTAGCTTAAGCTGGCCTTGCTTTTAGAGCAGAGAAACTGAACTTTTCTTTCTGTTTGTATTTCTGTATTTTTAAAACAGGGATTTCTGGGGAAAAAAAAAAAAAACCAAAAACAAAAACAAAAAAAACACATAGGCTCTAATGTGACCCTTCCATGTTTCTGTACAGTGAGGACCTTCTTATTTCCTGAATGGCTTGGTCTGCACTCCAGTTAACTCACACCCTGGATTTCATCCAAGTACATTCTGTTTCTTGATACGAGGCCAGGCTTTGCTGAGTTATGGTGCCATTTTCTTCTGCCTGCTCTCCTCCCAGTTCCTCTATTATCATTCTCATTGCTGAATGCTACTAGCAACCCTTAGCCCAAGGGAAGAGCAGAACCCAGCCCCATGCCTGCGCCTGACAGCAGTCGGAGCAGGCGAGCTGGAACTGCAGTGAACGAGCCTGTTGGTTGAGCTGTCCCTTGCTCAGCCTGTCACTGAGAGGTATGTCTGAAATCAGCTGAAGCAGAAAACATTTGAACTCTACACCCTGCCAAATACCTTCCAGATGTGTAAGATGTAGCCTCACTGCAGACTCTGACTGTAGCTCTGCCAATATATATCTGCACATTTCTGGTGCACAGGGAACATGAAAGTAGATATTTTATAACATCTGCTGCCTTTTCCTAGTCCTCCCTCCCTGCTTTTTGCAGTGGTTTTCCTATATTTCATCCTTCAAGTTTAAACAAACAAACAAACAAAAAAGCTATAAGTCTTTCTACTGATTTATTGAATCCTCACATTTTGTAAGTTTTTATGCCAGCAGTGTGGTAAAAAGGGAGAGAAACAGAGAGACCTTGTTCTCCTGCCTGGAAATCAAATCAGTGCCCAGGTCATTTAATTATTTCTGTATTGATTCAAGGTGTTTTTCTTGCACAAATAATAAAATAGTATCAAATTCCATTGAAAAAGGGCTTTTATAAAACCAGAGATTTATCTTGCTTTCACAGTAAGAATTACTTCTTTAGTCCTGCAGTCACCTGGGCCTGAAGGGGGTCAGAGCAGAGCTGTCCAGAAGAGAGAAGGGAGAAAGCAGAGAGGCTAAGGATTAGGTTAAATGTGGAAGTGATAATACTTCTTATTTGAAAATAAAGAAAATCATTGGGTTTTAAGGTCTTACTTTTAAAGTAATCTTTTTGTTAAGAAAGAAGAAAGACTGTCTTGCTTCTTCATTGTTCTCAAACAAAACAAGGTAGATTTGCGCTGACTTCTGATTTCTGACTCCACAAATGGTAGTTATTTTCTGATCTCTGTTGCTAACAACTATGTATTTTTTAAGAAATAATCACCTTTGGAGTCCATGGCTGTGTTGGTGTCATTTGTTCTTGAAAGTTAAGCAGATGCAGGCCTGGGATATATTTTGGTGAGGGACCACCTGGGAATCACAGAAGCCATATATATACGCCAGGGAGTTGTGGTCAAAATCCTGGCACACAGCAGACCACAGGAATCTAATGAGTGGGAAGACTTCATTTGGTCCCATCATCACTGCTGAGTTGACTGATGGGGCTGAAATGCAGCAATACTCACACATCCATTTCTGTCTTCTTGCTCGGACAAACTGGCGTGTGAGAAGCCTGCCAGTCAACTCATTGGACTTCTACAGATGAAAATGTCAAATGGAGGTTATCTGTGTGACTGTGTGCATCACAGAACTGCAGAAGGAAGACAGGAAAATATGATAAGAAAGAAAAATGTGTTTCCTATTCAGTCTGCCTATGCTACAGACTGCCTTCTTTTGTGAGCTGAGCTTTGGAGCAGTCAGTGCAGTAATGTTCATGTTTTACTACAATGTTTGCAATTAATCTGACTGGGTGGCACTTGGCCCTGAAGTAACTCATACTTTTGTTGGGATAATACCCCTGGGAGGTGTAGTTCTCACTAGGATCTGTTTCGCCAGGTGTGCAAGCATCTTCCTGACTTAGGGCAGGTGTCTCACTGACATATTTTCCACCAAGCTTGCATGAAGGGATCTACAATATCCCATTTATTCTAGCCTGGCAGATAACCTGAAGAGGTGGTCTCTCTCTTGCAGGCTTTTGATGACTGTAGGGGTCTTTTCTTAGAGCATTTTCTGCAGTGAAACCTCACCTTTTGCTGCTGGAGATGTGTAGACCAGACCTGGTTATAAATCTCATTTAATCTAGACTACAGCAGTTTGACTGGATGACTTTAATGGTCTTTCCCAACCTAAATGACTCTGTGATTCTCTGAAAGCTGTTTTAGTGTATCCTTTTAAAATTATTTGTTTCTTAAATTGGCTTCCGATAATTGAGATGTTTCTATACCTCAATTAAAGATGATTAGGGCAAGGTAGGAACAGGATACTGAAGAAAGAAGGTTTTAAGAACTAAAAGAAACATCTCAGTTTACCTCTTCTTCATCAGGTGCTACAAATAGAGTAAAAAGGAGGCCAACTCTTATACTGGCTGCTGCTTCATCTCTTGATATGATTTATCTAACTGTATGTAAAAACTGGAAAGGTCTGGATGAAACAGCTTTGCTTTTACAGAGACCTGTTCCTCAACAGTTTAAATCTTAGAGACAATTTTATGTTTTGAAGCGTCTGGAAGTCTCCTTGGCCCCTTTCCAGGTCATTGTCCCATGCAGTATCTTCCTTCAAGTGCCCCCAGTGAGTGACCTCTGACTCTGTGCCCATAGGATGAAGCAAAGCATCTCAGCTTCAAAGCTCCTGAGCTCCTCTTGCATTCCCTGTCTAAATATTATTTGAACAGGGAGCGAGAACAGGCAAGTAACAGCCGTGCCTTGTCAGTTGCAGAGGATACATCTTTATTTAATAAACAGTACCTCTGATACAATCATTCTGCATGTCAACATCACCATTTCTGCTGGTGTCCTGCTGCAATATCGCCATGATAATCAAGGTAACTTTTGTAAGAACAGCAGAGATAATACAGCAGATAGTAAAGGAAGCCAGACTTGATTCAGTCTTTTTGTCTGTCTGCTTTACTCAATTAGTTTTCAATCTGATTTATTTCATTCACAAGTCATCTCTTTGATCTACTGCCTCAAGTACACCCTGAGCCACTTCTGTCTTCCTTCTCCAGTTACTTAGGCTTATATTATTGCTCCCTGATGGCTCTGATCTCACATTTTTAGCTTCTCCATGCCTTCCTGATATTCCCAGAGAAACTCCAACAATCCTCTCTCTTCAATCATTCTCTTCAATCTCTCAGGAGATTTCCATACCCCACAGATCTGTATGTGTGCTGAGACTGAACAAGAAGATAGTGTAAAAATGGGAGATTACAACTAATTCATATCTGAAGTGATGACTGTTTGCAAATGAAGAAATTTCATGTGTTCTCTATGATGTTCAATAAGCCAAACAGCAAACTCCATGCTGCTCGCAGTCTCACAGGACTGATTTCCCAGGTGTTCTGGGAGCTACAGGAGCTGGTAAGGGTAATGATGCAGGAAAGCACATCTGGGACCCTTGACTCTGTCTTCTACTAGCAGGTTTTGGACTGAAGGGAGGTTAAAAGACATTACCATTAGAAGAAGGAAAATCCTGCTCTACCCTTCTTTGTGCTTTTTGCCTTTATCAGACAGTGCCTGTTTCATGGAGGGACTTACCAGACTTCCTCCTAAGACTCAGAGAGTAGAGTGGTTAACTACTTTTCCAGAGGGTGGACTGTCTGCACGATATTCACCTTGGTCATTGACATCATAGCCAGCTGATGTCTGTGATATAATGTCTCTTGCCTTAAGGGTTGGTAGGTCCAACTCAAAATGGAGCAAGCATTGCAAGTCAGAGGAACTTAAACCTATGATAATGAATACATGGTATTTATCATTTATCAACACATTATTATGTGCTTTTGTTTTGAATAATACTTCACATTAAAATGCATGGTACTTCCATGATCAGTGCAGGATTTTGTGGTTCAGCTATGATGGTTGAGGTACCACTTCTTCAGTCCATACAAGAATGATTGCAACACAATTTGACTATTAGTGAAACACAAAGCACTTCAGTACATGACCCAGTATTAATGATCACCATATGGAGACACTTCATTTTTCCTTTGTCACAGAACAAGAAAAAGCCAAAGCCCGTGCAGACAGCAAAGAGCTGACCAAAACTTTTTTTTGTGTTAAGTTTTTCCTGAGGTGGTGGATGATTGCTCTTGAGAAGATGATGTTCTTACACAGTTGGTGGAATTATGACAGACTGATTACTGACACCACATAGATGTAATCTGTAATTCAGTAATCTGAATTGTATTGCATTCATATATCAGGGCTTATCAATGTTCCCATCTAAAATTTTGGGTAATTGAATAGCTAGCACATGAAAAATGCATGGGGAGTGAAACTCCTGCATATGAAAAGCAGTCAGCCCAAATGCTCCTGAGGTTTACGGGCATCTGCAATTTGAACTGTTAATTTGGTTTTGTATTTGGGGAAGACATGCCATTTAATGTGATGACCCCTGCCAGTGGCTTCAGATATATATTCACTTGGGTATAAATTATTATCTACTTTATTACTATTATTATTATTATTATTATTATTATTATTATTATTATTATTGTGATTGTGATTGTGATTATTATTTCATACATGGAATAGATTATTATCCAGGTTTTTGCAAGTAAGTGTACAGTCTGCTGTTTGGTGGTATTCAATAGTACAGTGGGCAAATGCCCCAAGCAAATCTGTTCAAGTCACAGTTTACATGATTAGGAGATATGGAAAGCAGAAATACATATTTCCTGATACACAGAGAAGAAAGAATACTGTATAACTACTTACCAGCTGTAGCCACAGCAAATGAACAGTGCCCTCAGTACTCTTGCCTGAACCAGCTTCAAACTTAATCCCAGGATATTCATAAAAACTCTTGAAGGGGAATATGATAGCATGTTCCAGTTCAAGAATAGAGCAGTCCAACCCCTCAGTTAGGTAAAATAATGCTCAGCTAAAAAGCACAGAAGGATTTATGGGAAAAACAACAAATAATCCAGGTTCAAGGTGTTCTGTGGTCTTGAAAACAAACAGAAAAAAGCACTTCAAAACAATCCCCACCTCATACTCAAAGCCCTGAAATACAAAATACAAATGAAATTTCTAGAACTTAATAATTACACAATACTTCATAAATAGAAAAACAGATAGCAAATGAATTACCAGAGATTTCAGAGAACATAACAGGCTTAGAGTGAATATGAAAACAAACAGCAAGCCCGTGCTTTATAAATGTTCTACATTATTCCTTGAAAGAAAACCAAAAAACCAAAAACAGTTCAGGGAAAGAGGAGAATGGATAGGCCTTAGTGGGTGTTCTGGCCTTGGGGAAGAAGAATGGACAGACAACAGAAAAGATGAGTGGTTTCTTTGGATGAAATATTTTTAAACCTTTCTTTGGATAAACCTCTTTAAATATTTATAATCCTTATTTTTTAGTATTTTATAAAGAACTCCATATTGTAGCAATGGTCCAGTCTGTGCCAGTGGCAGACAACCAAAAGGGGAAGTTTGCTATTCTGTTCTATGCCTTTTATCAGTGCCACACAAAACAAGTGTGATACTTTGCTACATAAACAGAGCCCTGATTTGAAAGACGGGTTTACATTTTCTTAGTATGATGTGCACACCATACCTAACAGTTATGTATTTATTTATGTATGTATTATGTGTAATTAGACATTTCCTCCATCTCACTGAAACTTTACCATTCCTTCTCATCCTCAAGGAATTTTAAGCTTACTTTTAAGCAGTTGCTTGTGGACTCTTCTTCATAGACTTTTCAGTCTTTACACTGCCCACTGCCCATTTTTAGAATCAGCACAAAGTCAGAAAAAACAGTTCCTGGAGTCCTGCAAGCTCATTGCTGATCTTTTGTAGTCATAATTGTCACACTTTTCTGTAAATTCTTAAATGTACTGAGCTTTCCTTTTGTGCAGCCTTGGAAATTTAGTCAGTTTCTTCAGGAATTTTTGAAACACTGAGTAAACTGTAAGGGAGAGAATTTACAGTTATGTATAATTTATATGCAGACTGAGATTATGAACTTGGCTTACTGGTATTATCCTTTCAGTTAATGAAAACTACTTACTTTTTTTTTTAACAAAGGAGAAAAAGTACACACTGGGTACAGCTCTTAGTATATCCAAAGACTGTAATTCCAAGGAGTTAGGCATTCAGAAAGCTCATCTCTCCCCAATTTCCTCTCCAAAGCTTTTACCTGACTTTATGTCTCCAAAGTCCAGTTCCAGCAAAACTAATATTCCAGTCTCTTTTGTAATATGTAGAAACTCTCAGGTGGAATGGCTTAGCCTTGACCTCTTTTGCAATTTAATGTCTTGTAAGGCAGCTCAAAAATGTTTTTTATTATATAGAAAATGATTTCATTGCTCCTTCGACTGAATCTAAAATGAGCATGGCAAATCCAGTGTTTTAATGAGGAATCTTATTATTCAGTCTTTCGTTCTGAAATTCACCTCCTGGCAGCCATTCAGATCTTTCAGCAAACACCACCAAATTGGCATTCTCTATCCATCTAAGGGCTTGATCAGCAATTGCTGCACAAAATCTTGTGTAACCTCCAGGACATCACAGCCCTGCCAGAGAGTAAATTGACAGAGAGATGCTTATTCAACTTGCTTGTGTCTAAAGATCTACAAATGAGCTTTGCTCTGTAAATTAAGTTTCTTTTAACTGCAAGTGAGGAGTTTTAGCTCTGCATGTCAGATAGCCATAAACAAGCAGGTAAGGAACACATGTTTTGGAATATAATTTGTTTCTGACTGCTGCTGGAACAAATAGGTTGCCATGGTCTTTCCAATATGCTTTCAACCATAAGGCTGAAAGCATATATTGCCTCCATATATTGTTAAACAAATGTTAGCTAGATCAGGCTTAAGTAATTTCCCAGAATTCAGGGATAGGATGTGCATTTCTGATACTTCCCAGAAGACTTCCTTTCAACAAGCCTTTATATTATTACATACCTGATTATGAAGGCTTATTTTCATTTATAGAAAATAATGTACAAATAATTGCTATTTATTAAGAGACGCAAGAGCATTTCAGTGTGGGTTGTTGGTCTCAAATATATACAATATTCTTCACTTTGAATTGTGCATTTCCTAGAATGCAGACTGGATGACTATCCTTCAGGGCAGAGGAGATACTGCATGGGAGGTAGCAAACAGACCCATGGCTCTTTTTATTGTTATTTCCACTCTTCCCCCGACCCTGCACCCCATGGCTGGTAATGCTCAGCCACAGGATATGAGAAATTAAGTCTGAATATACACTTATGCATATTTATATGCCTGCCTATCATTTCCAAGTCATGCACATGTTGCCTCAAGTACTTCACCCAAAGAATATTGGATTAACCAAAGAGCCCACATAGCTCTACCCAAATAGCCTACATCTCTTGGATCTGTGCTTTGTCTTGTTAAACAGACGGAAAAAACTTATTCAGGATGCAGAATTCAGAGCCAAGTTCTGAAAAAGCAGTAAAAGAGCATTTCCTAAATCCTCTTCTGTACAGAAGGCCCTAACTTCTCCTTATTCACATAAATGTCTGTGAATTTCAACTAATGAGCCTGATTGATAAAAATAGAAGAAAAAAGGTAGAACCTGACATGCTAGTAATAAATGCAATTAAGAAAAAGCAGTAGGAATATACTTTGAAGTCACAGGCAATAATTTTATTGGATCTTACCTTCATCAGAGTATCTGATAATCCTGTTCTTTGTGGCCCTGTATTCCCTGAAATGAGTTGTTTATAGTAGGTTATAGACAGAGTTCCTTCATTGTGAAATCTTCACAATAAAACACTTCAAAGCCAGCTGTAGTCCAAATATATATTCTTTTGGTGTATAGTCCGGACAGTCT